TGCATTTAAAATGACATGACTGAGCTAATGACACAATGAAAGTTGTCATAAGCATATATAAAATCTCCTTAATATTCATGATGTGTCATATCATGATTATAAAGGTGTCATGACCTTAAAGTAAAGTGTTTAGGGTATAAAAGTAGCTGAACAATTTATAAAAGCACTCAAACATCATTGTGCGGAATTGTTTCTTAAAGTCAATTTTGAGGATTTTCAATCTGTACGTGTTTTTATTAGTTTAGTTTTTGGAGGTGAAGATGTATTAAAACTGGTCTTTGTTTGTATTCGTCTTTTTTGGCTGCTTTTACCTAGTGACAGAGGCTTTAGTATCAAAATATCACAACTCAGTTTAACAGAACTTCTAATAACAAGGACAAAAACATTAGTCACATTTATTAAAGGTATGATTCACCTAAATTAAAGCTTTTGTCATTAATTATTCATCCTAAATTGTACAATCACCTTTTTCCCTGTATATACAAGTACATTTTGTATGATCACACTGGTGCCACATTCCCCAGTGGATAACAACAGTGCTTGTTTGAGCGATAATAGATGATGAATTATAGTAGCGCAGTTCAATAGGTGTACTCTCAGATTTTGATCATGTACCACAGATATTAAACAGCTCTAGGAAATTCACAGCATAATAGCATCGCAGTGAGAAGTAGAGAGAATCTTTCTAATTTGCTACAGAATTTCTTTTTATAAACCGTTGATTTCAGATCAGTCTGTGCTGATGTGGAACCAAGGAGAACTGTTACTTGCAATGCTTTCATCTTCTGTTTTACACGGTATAAAACAATGGATGGGAAAATATTAAAACTATAAATGCACATAAAAACATATGCTCTCCTGTGTAAAAAAAAATAGGATGTATTTTGCCATACATTAAAATAATTCAATGCACACCTAGCGATATATTATCCCTCACTTTTGAAATCATGTTTTGTTATATTTATATTTAGTTAATGCTCAAGAGTCACATGAAGTCTCATGAAATATGACAAATGTAAAAGAATTGTGACCTAACTGTATAGAAAATAATAAAAAAAAAGGTTGTTTAGTGATCTCTGAAGTTGTTGGTCAGTTCAGTGGCATACTATGTGAGAATAATATGTTGTGTTTTTAGTTTGAGATGTTAATTCAGAATAAATGCCATGTTTGACTTTACTAGGACTTGATGTAGCAAAAAGCTAAAATGTTGCATTATAACTGAAATACATTCTGAAATTGAATGGAAAATATTGAAAAGTATTTTTTACGATCTGACGTTTATCCACTTTTATTGAAAATATTCTTGGAAGTTTTCCGACTGTTTTGTCTGCTGTGATTGTATTTTGATAATGATTTCCACCAAGATGCACATCAATATGACATGAAGCTCCATCTATCACAGCCTCTTTTTCTTTCTCATTACATTAAATATGCAGTCTGCTGTGACTAATGTGTGTTACTGTAGCTACACACTCTACACACTCTTCTGTGTTATCCATGAGAAGGGCTTCTCAGACATGCTCCACATACAAAAACACCCCCATGAAATTGTATTGCTAGCCAGTTCTTTGAGATTGGCAATAGAAACAGATAATAGTTAATAGTTTCTACCTCACAGGTTTTTGGTCACCTCTTCATTCATTATTCCCAACATAAAATCCAATTGTTTTTGTTGTTTTTTTAAAGCGCCTTTGATTTGGGTTTAAAAGAACAGTTCATTTCGACAGTTTATTCACCCCCCTCCACCCATTTAAATGTTAAAAAGTTCATTTGAACATTTTTGAACTCGTTCAGCCAATCATTGTGTGTGGCGTGAGCACTTTTGGCTTAGCTTAGCAAAGATCATTGATTTGGATTAGATCATTAGCATCTTGCTTAAAAATGAGCAAAGAGTTTATGCTCTCATTCTGGCATAATAATCACGAAAATTTGCTGCTGTACAATGGCTTCTGCATGATAGAATTGTCTATAAAATTTCATTCAAAGGAAATAATATTCATGCAAAAGATTTCTTAAATGATTATTTTCCAGTTACGCTTAGAATTAATTGTTTAGAATAACAATTGTATAATAACAATTATACTTTTATTGATTTATTTAAAAATCTGACAGCCTACAGGTAGGCTTTTCTTTTTCTGGATTGCTTTTGAAGACATTTTCAGTTGGATTTAGGGAAGGGGTTGGCCGTGGGTCAACTGGTGCTTTGAATACACTCTCACTTGGGTTTAGTGAAGAAGGTCGATGGGGTGATTGGTCAGATACTGTAGGTCAGAACACAAATTACAGTTGTGTATAAAAATGCCTTGCCTGGCCTATGGTAAGCTAAGCTAAGCTAAAAGTGTTTCCTCCAGACCCAGAGATCGGCTAAATGTTGCTGAAAACTGTTGAGCCTATTTCCAAAATTAAGAGCGTTCCTCTAAGAATCAGCAAGGATCATAGTTTCAGTTTTCTTTCTTTGATGTTTATTGGTCTGCAAGTCAGTAAATTAACTACAAATTTTCATTTTAAGGCAAATACACATTAATTTTAGGATTCTTGGATGAATAGGAAGTTCAATTAGCAACCAGTATTTAAAAATAGAAATCTCACTGAGAATGAATCAGTCAATAATTAATAAGTTGTCAACTCTATTACATTTTCGAGTCTAGTACAAACAATAAACTATCGTACCAGCAATACAAAGACTGTGGATTTGCTTGGATTAAAAGCTTCTGCAGAAAGCATTAACCCAACAGAATCAAACAATTAGCTGTCACCAGAGATGCATTATACAAAATGTGGCTTTCGATGTTTTTATTATTTGAGTGTGCATGTGTGACTCTCCCCATAGAATGAATCATTTGTTCTGTATTCAGAAGTGTCCCGCTCATTCAGACCTTCACTTGTGAGCATCTGCTAAATGAATACATTTAAATGAGTTGTAGGTGTGCTACATATTTGCATCTGTGTGTGTGTGTGTGTGGGTGTGTGTGCTTTATGTGTCAGAGCCTCAATAATGGCAAAGCCTGTCAGCTTGTCTGAGGAGACCAAAGTGTTGTCAGTGAGCCGTGACATGTGGTAATCGCACACACACTGACTCCCAGCAGGGACAGACCTGACTGAGTACTATCAGAGAATAACCACACTCTGAGGCTATTAGAGTTTTGCATTTGGAAATTAGTTTTTATTTCAATAAGGTTTTTAAAATTGGGTAGACATGTCAGTTTAGCTTTATTTTTGTAATTAGTTTGTGACCACATTTACGTTTTAAGATATATATATCTCAAATATATATATATATATATATATATATATATATATATATATATATATATATATATATATATATATATATATATATATATATATATATATATATCAGGGTTTCCGCAGGGTCTTAAAAAGTCTAAAGTTTTAAAATAAAAATTTTAGGCCTTAAAAAGTCTTGAATTCGCTTTTCTGGGTCTTAAATATTTTTGCACAGGTCTTTTTTTCCGATGTCCATGTAACGCTACATCTAATGCTCATTTAAATTCTTTTTGTTGTTTTGCTTGGTTTTCATAGTGTTGTAGTTCCTTATTTCACTAGTCCAAATGTAATTTGCGGTATTACAACTACAAGACCAATGAGACCTACTATGAGACCGACATGCAAGAGCCACTCGAGCGAACAGTTCGAGTGATGCCGCATTTGATTTGAGTTGAATATGAAACACTTTGAAGAGATTTGTCTGAAACAGGTACGACTGTACAGACACCTTTATAATCCGTCAATGCGTAATCATAGGAATAACCAGATGGCCAACAATTGGAGGAAAGTTTTTGTAAGTTTGGAAAAACCTGATGTGCATATAACAATTTTGAATTTAAAATAATTTAATAGTTACAAAACTAAAATGAAGAAACAAATTATTTCTTTAATACCTGGAAAGGATTTACAAAATACCTGATGCCCTGTTTCTAAGCTTTTTGGGTGATAATGGTCAAGAATGTTGGACCATTACTGCCTTTTTGGCTTATAAGTAGAGGACAGAAACTAACCAGGCAGTAATGTGTAAATTATAAAGGCGAAAGTATAAATCAGCCTTAAGATGTTTGTTTGGGTTTTTTTCCTGTAGTTAAATCGTGCATCTAACCTGTCTTCAGTACTGTTCAATTTGAATAAATTTATTTTGCCAAAATTGTCTATGCTTGTTTTTAATATTGTGATTTAGGTCTTAAATTTAATACCTAATAGTCTTAAAAAAGGTTGTAAAAAGTCTTCTTTTTACGAAAATATAATATCTATATATATATATATATATCAGGTTTAATGTCTGATCCAAAAGACGGCACTCACTGAGCAGTATAGAGTCCCCTCACTATACTGGGGCGTTAGGATCCACACAGACCACAGGTTAAGCGCCCCCTGCTGGCCTCACTAACACTATTTCGGGCTGCAACCTAGCTTTCCCTTGTGGTCCCCCATCTAGGAACTGACTGGGCACAACCTTGCTAAGCTTCAGTGGGCAACCATGTGATGATGACAGTACATAATATTTTACTAGATAATTTTCAAGATACTAGTATTCAGCTTAAAGTGCAATTTAATATAGATTAATTAGGCAAGTAAGGGTAATTAAGCAAATCATTGTAAAACGATGGTTTGTTTTGTAGACAATAAAAAATACAGCTTAAGAGGGCTCGTAATAATAACTCTAATGTTGAGTATTTATTTAAAACTGCTCTTATTCTAACTGAAATAAAACAAATAGGACAGTCTAGAGGGAAAAAATACTATAGGAATGCTGTGAAAAATTCTTGCTCTGTTTAGCATTATTTGGGAAATATTTAAAAAGAAAAAAAAATTCACAGGAGGGTTAATAATTTTTCTTTAACTATATATGTTTTTCATATATTATACATTTTTATTTTAATTTACAAAGATGTTTTTTGGCTACCAGTTTTAGTCTTAGTTTCAATTTAGTTTATAAAATAACCTTTCCATTCTAATCATGCTCTTCTTTCTTACTCCTCCGACAGGTGGGCGTCAGGGAAAGCTGCCAGTGACTGCATTCGAGGCTTTCGATCTTGAGATGAAGAGCTGGACGAGGTACCCGTCTATCCCCAGCCGCAGAGCGTTCTCGTCGAATGCTGCCAGTGACAGAGCCTTCTTCAGCCTCGGCGGCCTTCAGCAGCCCGGACCACACAACTTTTACTCCAGACCTCACTTTGTCTCCACTGTAGAGGAATTTGATTGTGAGCAGGGTGAGCGATCCATCTCTTTATTTCTAAATCCCACACCGAGAACATGAACAGAGGAAGACATTGTTTTCTTTGCTACACTTTGTCTCTCTCTCTGTGTCTCTCTTTCTTTCTTTCTCTCACTCTATCTTATAAAAGTTTAATACTGATATAAAGTACACAATGTGAACGTTTGCCACAAATATAGATTGTTTTACAGATACTTCAGCAACAGGAAATCAGTAGGCCTACACCGCAAGTGTCTGTGTGTGAATTATAAAGCTTAGTCCACTGTAAACAATCTTCTCTGGCAACCCTGTCATGCATGACATGTCATCCAGGCCTCACAGTCCAGCAAGTTTATCCTCCTGATCGGTCAGCTTCAGATTGATTGACAAATTGGCAAACCTCACGAATTCAACCCGACTGCTCCTGAACTTTTTTAATGTTTAAATACGATCGGAAGGTCGTGAGCTGCTTAGCTTAACTCATGACTTCGTCTCACACAGTCAGAAGCCATGACCATAAGACCATGGGATGGGAAAAACACTTTATATTAATCAGCTTTAAGTTCATTCATTAATTTTTTTATTTTCGGCATAGTCCCTTTATAAATAAGGGGTCGCCTCAGTGGAATGAACCGCCAACTTATTCAGCATATGTTTTACACAGTGTATTAAAGCTGTAATCAGGCCATAAAAATGAGGCCTGATTGGGGCCTGAGCTCGACAGAATTCGGCCTGAGCACGACAGATACATTTTGATGGACAGCTTTTTAAAAGCCCGCACCTGTTTACAGCCTGACATTATTCAAATGTACACAGGCACACAGCTCTTTGGAACAAAGAAATAAAATAAGTCCTCTATGTTAAGCATTGTAACATTTCAGCACTCTAAATAGGCCTAGGTACATACACTTAGCCTTTAAATTGGCCAACACACCAATGAAAAGAAGTCTTTCTTAACAAATTAAATTGAAGTAAATTCTAAATTATGACAGGTATTTGGCAATAACAAAATTAAGATAAAGGCTCTGCGAGATTTGCTTTGCCACGTCTTTTCATAATCTGGCCTTAAAGCGACGGTGAAGCTGAATATTAAAAGAATAGCCTAATGCCAACATCAGCCTGTGTACTCTGTCTACATTATATTTTTATGGTTTAATTAATATTTTTTATAATTTAAAAAAACTCTTTACTCACCAAAATTAGGCTACGTGTTTTTGTGAAGGAACATTATTGAATTCACTGTAAATGGCTTTTGCGCAGTCCTGCACTCAGGATGGTGCGTCCAGCAGCACCGAACACCCTTTCACGGCTGCTGCTACAGGCTGAGATGCAGAGTTCTGATCTGGCTAACTTTGCAAGTTTTGGGTAGGATTGTTTGATCATCTTTTACCAGCCAGGAACATTCATTTAATTTTCCATGACAGCAGTTTCAGTGTAGTGAGTGACCTCATCTTTTTACCTGTCAGCTTGCTGTTTAGCACTCTACTGTCATACGCAATGTATGAGCGACGTGTCGGGTCCCATTGGGTTCAGGCAAAGATCTTCAGCTTTACAGCAGATGCCCTTCCAGCTGCAAGTCAGTACTAGGAAACATCCATAATAGACTCATTCACACATACACTATGGACAATTTAGCTTTCTCCTATAGCACATATCTTTGAACTTGTAAGGGAGTTTATCAGCTTAAGTTTTTTTCCACCAGGAGTTGTAGGAAAAACATGCCTGCAAAAACATTGTTCCAAAAATAAAAAAACAACATTTACAAAAAATTAGCTGCATTTCCTGGATGAAATCAGCAATAGAAGCTGTAATAACTGAATAAATGAACAAAAACTTGATTTGTAAACAGCTGTTAGTGAGGCTTTTATTATATATCATTTAATTTATCAAAACTCTGTAGCTTAGCTTGTACTAAATATGGCTGTCAAGTAATTTACAATTTTCCACAATCGAATATCGTGACTTGCACACAGTCAAGATTCCCTTCCAATGTTGAAATCATGGCCTTGAACTTTGTCGCCAAGGCCTCTCTTTGATCGAGCCATTGCTGGGTCAGTTGACAATTCTGTGTGGAGTTTGCATGTTCTCCCTGTGTTGGCGTGGTTTTCCTCCTTGGTGCTCCGGTTTCCCACACAGTCCAAAGACATTGACTATAAATGCAAATATATTTTGATTTCAATATCTTTGAACATTATCCAATCACTGGTCTGCTGGTCTACAGTCAACATGTTTTAGAATCAACATTTGATCTGTCATGAAATCACGAATCATGAAAGTGGTCTTGACATTATTCTGGTCTCCTCTTCAAGGCTTCCTCTCTCTGTTCCTCTTTTGATGCTGTGGTTGAATCCTCTCTGACAGCCCAGCTTCAATCTCTTCAGCCTCTCTGTGTGACAGCCAGTTGAAAGATTGATGGGTTGCTTCGTTCACTGTACATACAGGACCCGAGGGATGGAAATATATTTGCTCCTCTCTCTCTAACCGCACAGCAGGGGGGCAATCTGTGGTATTACAGCATGCTCTCCTGGTAAAAGCCATCTATAAGTCCTTGTGAAAACTGCTTAGTCAATCACTGGTCTTATAAGGTGCATATTTTTAATCTATTTTCTTGTGTCAGAGAAATCAACAGGGGGATGCTGAATGTTTATCCACCTTCCTCCAAGCATAGGAAGTGGTATTCAGTTCACAGAATTGAGCAGTATCAGCTTTACATTACGCTGACTGGTCCACATGCAGTTTTAAAGGAGTTCATGAGCCATTTAAAATCTCGGGACGCATAAAATAACATCCTGCGGTGGATATAAAATGTACTGTACGTTGATCCTCGAGGCGCAGTTAGATATAAAACTGCGAAAAACATCGTTTTTTGTTATTGAAGGCATTTATGCAAAACTCACACTGATTTAATTTTCACTTTGATTTAACATGCTGTGTAAAAGTCAGACCACATAAAACAGGGGTTTTTAAACCTAATGCAAGTTTTAGGATTTTGAAGAGGTTTACAAAAATGATAGTCAATAATATATGTAATACTATAAAAAAAAATTACTAATAATAGTATTACTAATAATATTTGTAATTGTAATAATAACTAGTATTACTAATAATATTTGTAATACTTTTTAAAAGCTGCAATTATTTACTGAAATTGTTTTAATACATTTGGTATTTTGGCAGTGGATTTTTTTTGTTCCCAGTCTCTTTTCCTATCACTGTATAAGCAGAGTAAAAGTAGTGGAAAGAGTTGGAAGTAAGTTTTATGTCAGGTAAAGACCTGTTTTTCCAATCTTCCATGGTCCAATTTTGTTGAGCCGGTGTGAATTGTAGCCTCAGTTTCCTATTCTTAGCTGTCAGGAGTGGCACCCGGTGTGGTCTTCTGCTACTGTAGCCAGTAGGTCAAAATCCCAGTAAATCAGAAGTTTCTGAAATACTCAGAACAGCCCGTCTGGCACCAACAACCATGCCACATTCAAAGTCACTTAATTCACCTTTCTTCCCCATTCTCATATTCAGTTTTGAACTGCAGCAGATCGTCTTGACCATGTCTACAAGCTTAAATTTAGTTGCTGCCAAGTTATTGGCTGATTAAAAATTTGTGTTAACGAGCAGTTGGACAGGTGTACCTTATAATGTGGCCAGTGAGTGTATACAGTATATTAAATGTAAATCACCTGTTAACCAATTTTTGACATAGTCCTGAAAATTAAATTTTCACACCAGGAAAAAATATTCAAGTTAAAGTTATATAATTTACCGGATATTACAGTTGGTAATTTCTACATTTCTATAGTAAAACAGTTTCTATATAATTATTAGTTTTCAATATTATTTTGCTCTCTTTTAAAATCAAAGGCACAGTTTGTGCTAGAATTTTAGTTTTGTTTCTTTGAACTCTGTAATATACTATAATTTCATTGTCCGTCTCAAGCATTTATCATTGACAAACGCTGCTTGAAGGCTCACGTTGACCAGTCTGAAAATGTAACTTAAGCCCTTAACCTCAAATCTTAATCTAATTATGACAAACTATATATCGTTGGAAAGGCCTATGTCTTTAAAAACATATTTTACCATGTTTTGTTGCTGGATGAGTACTAGACTGAAACCAATTTACTGCCATTGGGTCAATTCCGGTTACATTTTAAACCATTTATTGTAGTATAAAACATGAATCAATCATAACAAACTACTGTATATATAATCTGACAGCTTAAAATGTCTGATTTTTGAGAAGTATAAATGAGCAACAGTTTTTTATCTATTTGCAACATGAAGTCTCCTGAGGAATAAAGCATTACTTTGCTACAGCAATCCACATGTAAACAAATTTCTACTTTTTTTTTTTTTTGGTTAAATTTAGATCAAATACCACCAAACTCCTCATACTACATAAGAATATGAAGTCTACTTAACTTCAAGTTAAACATGCCATTTTCATGTTTATGTTTAAAAAGTGAGGGTGACAACTAAGGGGTTAAACTATTTTGTCATCATATTAAAACTTTACACAATTCAGAGCAGTGCACAAACCTCAAATATTGGTTGAAGCAATTTACATTTTTGAGTAATCAACTTAATTAAATGCATGTTTTAAATCAAACTCGGTACTTTGTTAGTTGAACATAATTTCATTTTAGTTGTCGTAACACGATTGATGCAATCTGTTGTTGTTGTTCTAGTTTTTTGTTTTTTTTAGCCAAAACATAATTTTTTAAAGAAGCATTTGAAACTTCTGGTCCCTGCAGTGTACGCTCCTCTGTGTTGGTTTTCTCCAGCCTTGTTGGCATTTAATTAAACTGTAATTCTCTGTTTTGTGTGAACCATTTCCCCCATCCCAGGGGCACCGCTCGAGGAGCTTTTAATTGCGCTAACAAAAATAAGAGTGTTCTCTCATCTTCACACAAATAGCTAACCCCCACGGGTCCACCGGGCCTTATCACAAAAGATACATGTTACTGGCTCTCTCTCATCTTCTGTCGCTTTCTCATTTTATTGTGTGTGCTGGAACCTGTTTGT